TAAAAGGGAACAGGAGAAGCAGAAAAGACCTTGGCTCCATGCAGCACTGCTCTGCAGCGACTAAAACATCGGTGAGTTTTCACCACTGTTTTCATCAATAATCCAAAATACACATCATGCAAAACTCTACAAAGAGAATGAACTCGATTTAATTTCTTACCTCCCTCAGAAAGTTGTTTCTATGTTTAATTTCCCTCAGTTCTGGTAAAAATGAATCTTATTTCCAGGCTGAATACATCTCACCTCACGTGCCAATGCACATACACATTACACATCTTCTTTGCAAGAACAGAGAGTCTTCTACCATCAGATTCCTTTCCTATGCATCAGCTCTTAAGCAATAAAGTTGCCTTTCCACTTGGATAACAGTTTGGAATAGTATTTGTATTTGTCAACGTAGTGGTTTTCAATGCTGCAGTAAACAGATGTTTACATTTCCGCATCCTTTTCAGCATTATCAAACTGATAGGGAGATTATATTAATCACATTGCTTCAACTTCTTTAAAAGTAATGGTGAAATTTGAGGTAAATTTGTTTGTCCTTTGTTCCAAAAATCTCATCGCAACCTGCAGCTGAACTGCTCCTCTTTCAGTACCGTAAGTGAACATCAGGCAGTACAACAGGCTAGCAATATTTAATCTCAAATCTATATGTATAATTATCTACTAGACATACAACCGAGAAAAATACTTTTGTTAAAAATAATAGGTTTATTTTCTAGTAAAGTGCTGCCTCATATGTAAACAGTAACACTTTTGATCTTTAGATCTCTTGATAAATGCACGTGCACTTAAAATACATTTATTAAAGCTGTCTTCAGTCTTGTAACATTAATTTTTCATAATAGTAAGTTCAATGTCTCTGGGTTAGAAAACAAAATAACAACCCATGCAAAGAGGTACAAATGTATCCTGCTGGAGCTGATCAGTTTTGCCTTATCAGCAGTTACATGGCCCATTTGGACACTGCTTTGTCATGTGATACTCCAACATCATGGTCTCAAAACACCAAATAACATGTCACTCATGTTTCCTTTTTGTAATAACACAAACATGGACAGCTGGAACACTTCAGAGATCTACAGTCTGATGTATTCAAAGGTGATCCATCAGGTACTTTGCTGACATATAGATGGAAATCTATGAAAATACTACAGCGTACACTGATAGCACACCTATGTGAAATTTCACTGGAAGGATATTTAAAAAATAGACATCATCCCAAAGTTAATGAAGCAATTCGGAAATTAGTTGCTCTTTGACACCCTTAAAATCAGGGCATAGTCATGGCAATAAAACAAAAAAAAAAAATCTCTACCTATAATCAGAAGCATACAACACCATAGAATCATGAACAGCAGTGCAACAGAATAGCACAAACTTCAATCATGAAATCAACACAAAAAAATCAACCACCGTACAACAACTTGGGTTGGAAGGGACCTTAAAGCCCATCCAGCTCCATTACCCTGCCGAGGGCTGGGTGACCTGTACCAGATCAGGCTGCCCATCCAAACCAACATCGAACACCTCTTGGGATGGAGCATCCACAGCCTCTCTGGGCAGCCTGTGCCAGTGCCTCACTGCCCTCTGAGCAAAGAATTTCTTCCTAACATCTATTCTAAATCACACATCTTCTAGTTTAAAGCCATTCCCTCTTATCATATCACAGACAGTTTAAAAAGCTGGTCTCCCTTCTATAAATATTTATCTGTTAAACAGAAAAGGAAATAAATGAGTAAGCACAAATACATGTCTTGCACTGAAGATTCAGTGTGAAAAAAAATGCCACCTACCTTATCTGCGTTCAGGCACATTTTTAGAGAATGTCTGAGGAACACTGAGGATAGGTGTATCTTCATAAATTAAACTGTAGGGACAGAAAAATCTCTCTATCAGAGAACTATCCTTTATTATATTATTAATAAAAAATCATACAATAAATACTAATAAATATCAGATACTCATAAACAAAGTTACCTACCCTATGTAATTGCCTAAGCATATTCTATAAACAATTTTGCAAATAAATGTGTGGGTGTACAAGCATACATACATATATATTCACATGCACATATACCAATATATCCACAGTACCTGTCAAGTCTGTTTTCTGACTTCCGCCCATGAAAAGGCATGGTTTATTTTCACTTCTGATTCTTTTTTGTTCATCTTTTCTAATCACATTGTTTCTTATAATGGAGATGAATGTCTTTAAAATCTAAATTTTTAACTCATACTTAATGAAGCTGCTTGTGCTCTGATATTATGCCTTTTAACAAAACAAAATTCAGTAAGGTAATTCAGTAATGTATTCAGAGAATACATTTGTACTCCTGTTTCAAAGCTTGTGGTGATCACTGCTTTCAGGTCTCAGCACTGTCTGTAATCCCATAGGTCTAAAAAGTCATTGCCTGGTGTAGATTCAATGCAAGCTATGCAATGTGTGAGCTATTACTGCATGAGCTAGAGTCCAGCTCTGCTAATCAGCAACTCTGCAGCATCTGTATTTCCTATCACTACAGTGATTAACACCACAATCATACAAGAGCAAATAAACTTGGCTGGCTGAAACAGTGCAAAGATTGCGTCTGCTCAGCCACTTTAAGAAATAGACATAGAATTTGTGCATTTAACTTGATTATAACATATACTGGTTTGTTTGTTTTCCTTTTCAGAGGTAGCACTCAAGTCAGCAAGCATGTTTTTTTTTTTTTTTTTTTTTTGCCAAAGGCTTCCCATTTGTTAGGCCTTCAGTGACCTTTATGTTTTCAAATTAAGTCTCCTTGTAGCTTTTCCTGGACTTATGATGGCACTCAGCTTAAATAAAGCAAAACAGCCTGCAAAATATCAGTTTCCACCTTGCATGTCCCTGTCTCTTCCCTGGTAAGAGTAAACTTATCCAGCAGTTTCAGCTCTTGTAAAAGTAAAGATTTATGTGAACAATCTGAGGTACTTAGAGCTTCAGGTTTGTAATGGCCAATAGAAAATGTTACTATCTGAGATGTTACAGAATGCATGCTTTGTTTCCAGCCCTGAAAACAGATCTTCTTAGAAGGCAAAAACACATTATCTATAAAGGCTGTAGGAACCAAGGCAGATTTGAAGCTTTTATGAGTTATCTGTATGAGTTTTTCCTATATTGTATATAGTCATCATCTGTGACATGGATAGTAGAATGTTTTTTGCTTGTTTTCAAACTCATATACATGGTGTAGTTTTGTAATATCAGAAGAAGTCACTAAAAGGAGAATGGTAAAAAATATATATATATTTGTAGATTTTTTTTCCCTCCTTCATCTTTTGGAGGAGGATTTATCCATCCTCAGTGAGCTGGATTGCTGTAGTCCAGAATCCATTCTCCTTTGTCTATTAGGAGAAAATCTGCAGGATTTCAGTAGCAGAGGTGATCTGTATGGGAGAAGGCCAAGAGCTGCCCTGGGTGATGCACAGCTGCTTCTATTCAGCTCTGACAGCCAAAATCTCAGCCCAAGGAGCACACAGCCACTCAAACATGTTTTAGAAAGAGTGGCAACTGCCTGGGGGAAAAGTGGGAGTTAGGGATACAAGAGGCATATTAAAGGAGAAGCTCAAAGTTCCTCATGGAAGGGAGCACCTCACTCCAAGCAGGGATTATGCTCATGGGAGACTTACACTGGGATAGGGATGGTCCAAAAGAGACTATAACTTGTGGATGGCTCACACCAGGGCAGGGACACCTCTGAAGAATCTGTGTCCTGTGAATATCCCACAGAGGGTCAGGGGTGATTCAAAATGGATGACAATTTGTGAGTAACTCATACCAGAGCAGAGGAAAACAAATAAAAAAAGCGAGGAATGATAGACTGAAACCATTATGTGCACAACCCCAAACTCCCGTGCTGCTCCCTTACTGAAGGGATTGATATGGGCTGAATATAACTCACAGTGAAAGCAATTAAAGTTGAGACTAAGGGAGTGGAGAGAAACTGGGTTGGAGCTGAGAATGGGTAGGGGGAAATGTTTCCCTGTCAGTTCTCTTAACTGTTTATTTGTTCTTATTTTTCTCAACGGCCAAATCAGTAAGTAAAATTTTAAGTGGCAATAAAATTAAAAAAAAAATTGCAAGTTGAGACTCTTCTGAGTGCAATAATACTAAATAGTGTTTGTGTAGCAGCAGGGAAGGTAAGGTATGCATTCAAGGTCCTGCCTTTTTGGTTGTCTGATACCAGGAACATTTTATAGCTCTTCACTACCTGCTGCCTTTACACTGGATGGGTTTTATTCCTGGCATGCATTCAGAATAAAGCCAGGCTGTGTGCCCCAAAGATAGAAGATCCAAAGCACTCTTGGCACCCACAGCTTAAACATAAACTAAGAAAGATGAGCACTTCCAGCAGAAAGTCAAACTAACTGCACAAGGAAGTGTGGACGGCATAAATTAAAATAATCAGTAACTACAAGATAATCTGCCAAAAATAAATCCCCAGATGATTAAAAATGGGAAATATCAACACGTGCATAAATCTCGCAATAAAGGTTCTCACGTTAGTTTATGTTTAGGTGTTAAGCCAACATAATACTGTACCTCTTCTCCATAATTAAAACAATATATTTAATCTTGTACTCCCATTTCCCTGGAACTATTGATACTGCAACCTGTATTTTAACAGATTATAAGTGTTTCACATAGAGAAACTCCTGTGTCAGAACTTCTTCCTTGTCTTCTGATCACTCTGTTTCAAACAACCGAGCTGCTTTTCATCATTATACATTGACTACAGGTTCCCATAGGGCGCAGAAGGCCACTGATAGTCAGTGGAGCTACACCACAGCCTTGCACATCAGTTAGGGCATATCCACACAGTAAAAAAACCTTGTTTTAAAATAATGATAACATTTTTTAAGCATAGGGGGAATCCTAATCCTATATATATATATATAAATATATATATATTTATGAACTTAAAAGATTTATTCCTCAATTAGTGTATTTTTTTTTTTTTTTTTTTTTATCCTAGGTGTGGATTAAAAGATTCTTCTGGTAAAGCACCAGATAAGCAAACAGTGTCACAGTTCCCCACATGATGTTCAGGCTGACCCCGCTTGGTTTAGCTTGCTGAATAGTACAGTTCCCCAATGCTTTTTTCAACAGCTGACATGACTGGCCTAGAAACGTTTCTGCGTACCAGCAATACATGACACACATAAGATTTCCATACTCTTTCTTCTCCATTTTCCTCCAACTAAATTCACACCTAGTGTAATGCAATAGAAAACACAGCAACATCAGCAGAGCAGCAAGGTCCCAGGGTGCAGCAAGTGAAGATTTACTCAAACACAACCGCCATGGGCATACAAAGAAAGAAAAGAAGCAAAGAAAAGAAGCTGCTTACCTTCAGAAGGCCTCAGCTGTTCAGGGATCTCCAGCAAAAGATACCCTCACCTCCACTGCCAACTCTTACATGAGTTCTGGGAGGGGGTGGATCCTGGCTCCACCCCTTGTGGTCACTCAGAGGCATTGCATACACCTGAGCTCCCCTGGGTTGGCCCTGCCTTCCCACCAGGTGCTCAACCACTGATTCAAGCTGTGGGCTTAGCTACACCTCAACACAGAGAACAGTTGTAAAAGAAGAACAAGAGACAGGAAAGGAAATACCTACTTGTTCTTTAATGAGAATTAGCCACCAGGCCAGCATCCAGCTATGATTGTGACAACTATTTTGTTCTAAACTAGGAAAATCACTTTCAACACTGCTGTGAACAGATGTCTACAAGAAATACAGGATAGAAATGAGCAGTTCACAGGGTACACAGCATGTAGCATGAGGGTGTTCACATGGGGAAAAGCTGATGTGTCAAGATCTGTCTCAGAAACACAGTTCCTGTGCTCCTATGTTCAAAACATTACGTGCCTCAAGAAAGTTTACAGCCTAAGGGATATATTTCAGGTTGGATAGCAGGAAAAATTTCTTCTCTGAAGGATGGTATTGCATTGACACAGGCTGCCCAGGGAGGTGGTGGAATCACTATTCCTGGGGGTGATCAGAGATGTGGCACTGAGGGACATGATTATCAGGCATGATGGGGATGAGCTGATGGTAGGACTTCATGGTGTCAGAGGTCTTTTACAATTTTAATGATTTCTGTTCTTATATCAAAAAGCAAAACTACTAGAAAATTTATATATATTGCTATTGGTTTGCATTCTGTTGGGTGCTTGAAAATCAGCCTAAGCATAAACATTCTGGTGCAGTCCACTCTGAGATCAGCCTGGCAGAAATGTATCAAGAGCACCAATCTCAAGGCTCTTAAAATGTAGGAATCCAGTTACTGCCAAAAAGGACCTGGGAGTACTGGTGGACAGTAAGCAGGACACAAGCCAGCAATATGCCCTCACAGCCCAGAAAGCCAACTCTATGCTGAGCTGCATCAAAAGAAGCACAGCCAGCAGGGTGAGGGAGGTGATCCTGCCCCTCTGCTCTGTGCTGGTGAGGCCTCAGCTGGAGTACTGCGACCCTGTATACACTAAAGGTAAGGCTGGACAGCAAGCTGATGGAGCTTTAGGTGTCCCTGTTCATTATAGGGGAGTTGGACTAGATGACGTTTAATGTCCCTTTCAACTCAAAAGACTCTATGCTCAGAATCTCAGAAAGTCAACTGATGTAGCAGATGAAGCACAAATGGTTCTACTGGGTTTTCCTATGGGACTTGTGGCTGTTAGTATCCATTCAACAGTTTTGTCTTTATTCACATTTCATACCTCTTCTTAACAATACAAAGTCATAAATACAAATACAAATGACACTGCCCTCGTGAGAAATAGATGGGTGGTTGCCTTCTCCCTCAGGTAACATATAAATTGCCTATTCTGAGGAAAGGTGTTTAAGGTGCACTGGTTTTATCGTTTCTAACCACTTGCCATTATTACACACCTCTTTTCATTTGAAAGCTATAAAGACATCCAGTTTTTATACATTTTAGACAAAACACCTCACGGACAGAGCTAGCTGAAAGAAACCATCTTTCAGTATGACAGTGTAATAGTGTCTATTCGTCTCAAACAAACAGCTTCTGCAGTAGAATAGTTGAGAATTCATAATAATTCCTCCATACAGAATGGAGTCCTTTCATTCTGTACATCACTGTTGCTTGCACAGTGGATTCTTCTGTGTCACAATTTAGAAAGTAACTCATAGATACACCTGTACAGTAAATGTGATCAATTCGTTTCTTCTGTATATTTTTCCCTTGAGTGTGCTGTTTGCTTTTTTTTTTAAAAAAAAAAAAAAAAAAAAAAAACAACAATGCATCATTGTTTTAGAAACAAGTTGGATGGCTGATCTGACAAACACACATGACAGTTTTAGTACTTGTAAACAAAAAAAATTCTGGTGGCTATGCAGATTTCTAATAGTAAATGCGTGTCATCAGTGACGCAAAACTTGTCAAATGTACAGTATAACCAAACAGCATTCTAAGTAAGACTCCCACCTAAAATCAGTTTAGAACTCTGTTGCCTATTGGATAGAGTAAATTCCCTGGAAATCCTACACTGATTTCTGTAGACCTTCAGTAAAAACCGAGATTAGGAGATACTTCCTTTGCAACCATTTGCAGAAACAGCTGAGATTAAACACCTGTCTATCCTTGAGGATCTTATGCTTCTGTGATGGAAAGTACGGTCTCATAATAACTAATACAGATCTGTTCCTTATTGAATCACCCAGCAGAACAGGGTTGGTCTGAGGACATGGTTTTGCATCTTTGACAAATTGCATACGTAACAGAATATTCAACAGCTCTTACTTCAACATCAATTTTATACTGAAAAGGACAGAAATGATATTAAGTTATGATCAAAAGAATAGCATACCTCTACTAATCAAGTCCAAAGGGAAAAGTCCACTTTTTAAATTCCACTCACTGCACCAGAGTCAGAACAGCAGCTCTACACCCGTTCAGTTCTCTGCAACATGTGGGCATAGCAGATTAGCCCTAAGAGTCACATCCTAAAACTGAAATTATCCATTCACAGCCCAACTCATTTCACTGGAGACTACTATTCCAAGATTTCAACCAAGAAGCAGCTTCCAGGGCTGGAAACATGAAAGAAACCAAATAGTATAAACAGCCTCCTAAAGTCACATTTCCTCCTTCTTTATCCAAACAGAATTGTTCTTTCTTTCAGCTACAAAGCAAGTGAGTTTAGCCCAAGCCTTAATCTTCTACCAGTGAAAATTCGCTGATTTTCTGTACATACTGTTGTAAAGAATGCTGTCTTCCATTGTACAGGGGTAGAAACAGGGCCTCTATCCACCTGAGAAAGAATTTTCTGAGCTCTGTAATGGGACCCAGATTTCTACTCATTGTACCAGGTCTTAAATTAATTGACTGCATAGAAGAGCCCATTCTGTACACCTAGCCTGATTTTTGATCTTTAAAGCCACGTGTAACATCTCCAAGACATTTAAGTGCATTAAAAAATACATCCTTTCATCATCCTAGCTTTGTGCTCACCCTCTGTGTCTCTCTCTGTCCCCTTCCTGCCATGCTCTCTCTGATCTGTGCAGCTGGAACACACAGTGCTTTTTAGGCACTTGAAGCACAGACATCCCCACCTGAACAGTCTGTCACCCATTTTAGGATCTTTTTTCAGTTAGAGGAATTGTGCCCTAAAATAGCACCCGTTTCTAATCATGCAACTAGCTCCAGTACAGGAACCTGACTGATCAAAATTAAGTGGGGTGAACAAGTCATATGGTCACAGATACACACACTAGGACAATCTCAATCCCAATTTGGAATAGGAGGAAAAACTGCCTAAACAACAAAGCAACATGTCTATCAAGCCAGCAGGATTGAACCAATCACGAAGCAAGATGGAAGAATGGTAGATTGTTGCAATTCCTTTATCAGACAACCACAGAGTGATAAATGAAAAACATTCCTTGCTATTTTTCAAATCAGGTAACTGAAAGTTAGAATGCAGTTTCTCCAGTTTCGTATCCTCTTTAAGACACTCCAGTTAATTACTGCTATGAACCACCAACATCAAACACTGGAAGGCCAAGAGTTCCAAAGATTTCAAAAATGTCACTGCTTGGATTTGCTATAGAAGGAGAATTGCACTGTATTGTGCTATGGACTGAAAAATGATAACTTCTTCCTGAGGACCCTGCAAGATGAGAACATCATGCAATCCATGTTTTTTTTGTTGCTTCTTTTTCCTTCTTTTTCTCCCCTGCAGAAATTAAATGGAAGATTCTCATTTCTTATGATTGTTTTTCCCAACTGTGTTGATTCTGTGCCATTATGAATTTATTTCATAGAATTTAGGGATGAATCCTGTATTTTGCAAGGTCCTAGAGACGTACTTCATTTTAAACACTATCACTTGTGCTATTAGCTTTGAAACCACATGCAAAGTTAATCATAGCCATAAACATCTTCAGGATTGCAGAACCTGAAATTGCATACAGCAAAACTCCCAGTTACAAGTAAATATTTGCTAATACATTATGTGTATCTAAACAAGGATGTATTTTTAGAGGCTGAGAACATTCAGAGTTTTACTATTAGTGCAAAACTTTGCCCTCATTAGCGTGACTGGAAGACTTGCAATGGAAGCAGTCTAGAGTTTCTTGTTGTCAGCATTTCTGAATATCCAGCTCTTACCCTAAACACGGACAACAAAAAGTACGTTCCACAATCAAAGAGAAAAACATCTAACAGACACTTCAGCAAAAGAACTGGCCACACTCCAATAATCTCACCGTAATTACTTATCCATAGTTATCTGCATGGAGCTGGAATACATCATTATCTCTATTTCCCTCATTTGCAGTAGCTTTTGCCTTCTTTATCTCATGATTATACTGCAGTTGTATTCCTTCCTAATGCATGGGTGATTAGTTATTTCAGTGGAGCAGTAAATTTCTAATTGTTTTCCTTCATGTGTTGGGTCAGTAAACTTATGACCCAGACACAGATATAAAAATACTCATTCTGGGTTGATTACGAAATGGTTTAGAATGGGTCTGTGTTATGAACAAAGAGTCTGATACTCTTAGTTTGCCTGGAACAATTATCCTACACTGTTCAATTTGGTGAGAAATGACTGCAAAACAAGAGATGGAGAAGAATCACAAATATGGTCCAAAAAATGTTCCAGCACCTTTTAATCAAAAACAGAATGATGAGC